GCGGGATAGGAGTGAGCATGCGCAGTGGGCAGCAAGGCAGGCGGTGGGAGGGCTTTAGGTGGAGCATGCGCAATGCGGGCCTTCTGGAAGCGCACGGGATAGGTGGTGCATGCGCAGTAGTAGTTTTTTATTTTATTATTATTATTTTTGAAGCGGGGTGCACTAAAGGGCCTGGCCAAGCAGTGAGTGAGAAGGGGACCTGCTGGGAGGCGTGGCTTCGCCTATCTGACATCCCAGTGTTCCTACCCTTCGCCCAGCTTTGAATGGAGGGATGGGCGCAGGCGCTCCATCCGGGTCCCCACGCAGGTGTAGCAGGTGCACAAGGCCCCGAGCCGTCCCCTCCGCCGCTCGCTTTGATGTCCGGGCTGACAGCCGTCAGCGGCGCTGGCGGAGGCCGCCTGCTGGGTCCCCGCCTTGATCTGAGCAAGGGAAAAAGATAAAACAAATTGGTCCTGGCAGGCGAGTCCCCCAGGAGCGCGCGCGGATTTTGGTGCCGGCGGGCGCCGAATTTGCGCCTCCGCGCGCCACGTTCTGCCGCCCGCGCGCTTCCAGGTTTTTTGTTATTTTATTTTGGGGGGGCCTGGGAGTTCTGGCATCTTTCATAGCCTACGACGCGGCAGAAATAGAGGAAAGAAATATAAATATTTTTTTAAAATCTGCACGAGGTCTGTTCGATCAGGGATTTCACTGCGGGTTCCTGGGAGGAGAAACAGAGAGACTGCGCACGAGAAGGCGGGGCCGTGGGGAGGGGAGGGGCTACTCAAGAGGCGTGGGTCTGTATTTGCATACAGTTTGGTACAATTTTGGACACAGTATTTGCATATAATTCGAACTCTGAGACAGTATAGTCTGCAGTTTTGCGTGCAGTTTGATTTTTTTAAATGCATTTTTTGGAAGGAATTTGATTTTCGCACACACAGCTCGTGTCCAGCTGCTGTGGGCAGACAGGGAGTGGACAGAGGTGACCACAGAGGCCATTGAGTCTCCAGCGGCTGGGAGTGGACAGAGGTAGCTCACATCTCCCAAATAAACTAAAATAAAATGGAATATCATAGAATAAAATGAATTAAAGTGAAATAAATGAAGACAAAAAATTAAAAATTGAAGTTACAATAATAAAATTGAAATACATGCAATAAATGAAGTAAAAATTATAATCAGTTAAAATATATAAATAAGTAAAATAAATGAAATAAAATGATATGAAATTTAGATATAGAAATAAAATCATATAAATAGAAAGAAATAGAAATATATAGAAAAAGAAATATAAATAAAAACACAAGAAAAAGATAATATAAATCAATAAAATTTATGCAAATAAGATAATAAAATGAAATAAATAAACACAATGAAGTGATGGGCGCCTGTCAGAGGTGATTGACACGCCATCCACCAGGACTGTCACAGGTGCCCCTGCCGGGAATGGAGGGGCGGGGCATGCAGGGGGCCCCCCATCCCCCAGCACTGTCACTCAGAGTGAGTTTGGGGCGGGATCGGGTCGGGAAGCCACCCTTACTGTGTACCGGCTTTGCTTGCTCATGGGAGGGTGTCCTGTGCGTGCCCCTGTGCTGTGGGCGCAGGTCAGGGCTCAGGGCCTCGTGGGACTTGATCCCACCTGAGCAACAGGCCAGGAGCGCACGCGTGTGTGTTGAGAGACATCCAGGTGCTGCAGCCAGGTTTCTTCAAATAGAACTGAGAGAGTGAGCCAGGGTCTCAGACTCAGGGCTTAGTGATTGACAGGCACACTCAGTGACAGACAGGTGCACGTGTGTCTGGGATTAGCAGGTGTTCACTGAGTGACTGACAGGTGCATGCCCGGTGATTGGCAGGTGCTGGTGGGTCTGGGGCAAGGCAGGTGCACACTTAGTGACTGACAGGTCCATCAAGACCCAGGTCCATACAGAACCATCCCAGTGGCTCCTCCAGGTGTCCCTGAACCTGCGCTGCCCCTCCTCCACCACATAAACCAAGACCCCAGGGATGACATCATCACCTGTTGTCCCCACGTGCCCTTCCCTCTCTAAATCACCTCCTCCAAGATGGCAGCCTTCCATGTCGTCACCTCCTTCAAGGTGGTGGCTTCTATGTCTCTTCCCTCCCCCGTGTACCTGCCAATCACCTCCAAGATGGCAGCTCCCATGTCTGTTCCCTCCCCAGTGCGCCTGCCAATCAACACACATTCCAGGGTCATCAGCAAGCTGGGATGGGCATGGCTCCAGATGCTCTGAGCCTGCAGTAAGCCCGAACTAGCTTGAATGGGTGGGGCTAGGGCTGCGATGGGCGGAGCTCCTGGGGCTGGCTGGGGGTGGGTTTGCACATGTGGGGAATATTATACAGTCAGGAACAAGGAGTGAGGCACCCCTGGGCTGGTCGCACGGAGTTTGTGCAAAGAATCTCAGCTCGGAGCTGGGATTTGTGCAAAGCAACTGACATCATTTTGCAATTTGTGCAAAGCAGCTCAGCTACCGTTCGCACAAACATACCCTCTTAACAAAACAAAGCCCCCATATAAACCCCAAATAATCAGCTCTCCCCACAGCCCGAGCGGCCCCGCCCCCACCAGCACGTCCATCATCCATCAACAACAGCACCTGTCAGCTCCTCTGGAGTCTTCTGCTCCTGACCGCACTGGGGAGGACCCGGATGCAGCTCCCGGCTCCTGCACACCTGGCAGACCCGGATGGAGCTCCTGGGGGTGGCTCAGGGCCTTGTGCACCGGCTGCACCCACGTGGGAGACCGGATGCAGCATCCAATGATCGCCCCGCCGTCTCGTGCAGGTGATTCGGAGCTTTTGATTGACGTGTGCAAAGCAGCCCGGAGCCCGAGAGCAGCTCCCCCGCCGTGAGCAGCGCCGAGCGGTTCTTTGATTTCTGCGCTGGAGCAGCTGCTCGCGGCCTTTGTGCTGCTGATGGAAACACGTGTCGGCGCCCCTGGGCCGCTCAGAAAGACGCGGCCCCGCCGCAGAAAGACAAGCTGAGGACTGACAGCTGGGCCGGGCGGGAGCGCCATCCGGGTCTCCCAGGTGTGCACAACCGGAGAGCTGCAGCCAGGAGCCAGGGTCTCCATCCGGGTCTCCACGTGGGTGCACAGGGCCCTGGGCCACCCCAAGGAGCTGCATCCGGTCTCCCAGGTGTGCAGGAGCAGGGAGCTGCAGCCAGGTCTCCATCCCGCGTCCTGCGAGCCCCCGGAAGCCACGTGGAACCGGGCGCGGGAGTGCTCGGTCCGGCATGGGCAGCAGCACGCGGCTCGCAGCCAGCCAAGGGCGAGCGCTGGGAGGCCAGGCACACGCAGACGCGTCCGCTGCGGGTTGAGGGGAGCGCTGCGTTTTGTCTGCAAGGTGCGAGGGGATTGTGGGGTGATCATGTGCTCCGTGGGCGGGGCTTCGTGGCAAAGGTTAGGTAGCCCCAGCTGTCCATCAGGGCCAGTGAGTCACGGGGGGAGGGGCGGAGGAACAGACGGCAGGGGGCGTGGCCAAAGGGTGATTGCTGATGGGTGGATGGATTCATAGATGATGGATGGGAGGAGGAACAAGGCAGACCCCAGAGCCAGGCTGGACCCTCAGGGCCCAGTCCCGGGGCGAGGCTGCTACGTCACCTGTCCCCACCCTCACGTGGCTCCTGGCTTCAGTCCCTGCTCCTGCACACCTGGGAGACCAGGCCGGAGCTCCTGGGGGTGGCTCAGGGTCTTCTGCACCTGCTGTACCTCCGGGGGGGGGGGGGCCCGGATGGAGCTCCTGGCTCCTGGCTTCAGTCCCTGCTCCTGCACATCTGGGAGACCAGGCCGGAGCTCCTGGGGGTGGCTCAGGGTCTTCTGCACCTGCTGTACCTCGGGGTGGGGGGGGACCCGGATGGAGCTCCTGGCTCCTGACTGCAGCTCCCAGCGTTTGCAGCTCGCTGAGTTTTGAACAAATGCATCCAGGCCTGCTGAGATCTGCGAACAACCTCTGCCTGCCGCTCGCTGGCGTTTGGCGAGCATCCCCTCGGGCGGCGCGGCGGCGGGCGCTGGGGTCGCCCCGCGCTTGGGTTCCTTCGGCGTCCAGTGGCAGCGGAATTGCGTCCGCAGCTCGCGCAGGCTCAGCAGAGGTTTCTGGGGGCGGCGGCGAGAGCCGGGAAATACCCGCGGGGTGCTCCGGCGCGTGTCGGGGTTCCTGTTTTTTCCAAGACGGTGTCCGGACGCGGAGCACAATTTGTAACGTTTGGCTCCATGCACGGAGAAAAATTTTGCAAACACACGCAGCTCCCATGCAACCCGAAATAAGACGCAACCCCCTCCTCCCTGCCAAAATACCCGCCCCTGGCACAGACGGCAGGGAACCCGCGGGCGAGGCCGCGCGGGGCCGTTATTAAAAATTACAACGTCCCGGGTGCGGCCGTCACCGCATCAACAGCGGCGGACATGAAAAAAAAATCATCATAAAATCAATTAGCGCCGGGGCGGCCCCGGGAGCCTCCGGGCGCGGGCGGAGACCCCCGCGGGGTCCGGCACAGCTGCGCGCGCAGACGGGGGCATGAATGTTTCATGCGCGCGCCGGGACGTCAATCAAACCCCGCCGGGACACAGCTCCCGCGTCCCTGAGGCCGAGTCGCTCTAAGGACTTCCCGGGCGTGCACGAAAAACAAACCCAAAAAAACAAAAACAACAACAACAACAAAAAACAAAAACAAAAACAAAACCCACTGCAAAAAAAAACACGAAACACCCCCAAAAAAACTACAAAAAATAAAAAATCACAAAAAACCGCAAAAATCCCAAAAATCCACAGGAAAAAATCATTAAAAAAGGAGAAAAACACAAAATCCACCAAAAACCAAAAACCCATAAAAAAAAACACAAAAAAACCAATAACTTTTAAAGAAAAAGAATAATATTAATAATTTTGTAAGAAAACTAATTTTAAAGAAAATAAGAATTTTAATAATTTTGTAAAGAAACATTTTAAAATAATAATATAATTTTTAGCAGAAATAATAATATTTCTATTTTCTAATAGGTGACAACCGCGGGGTGCGGGCTGCCCCGCACGGCCTCTCCCGGGCGCCTCGCTCCGCTGCCCCCGGGCGCCTCCGGAGAGCGCGTAGCTCTGGCGGCCTCAGCGCAAACGGCCGGACAGAGGCGATCGCCGCCAGCTGTCAATCTCCTGAGATGACTGGCACAACATCTCGATCTCCTCAGCGGACTGGAAAATAGCAATCGCCTCAGACGATTGGCACAAAGTGTCAATCTCCTCAGATGATTGACGGAAAGTGTCAATCTCAGATGATTGGCACAAAGTGTCAGTCTCCTCAAGACCCCACCAAGTGTCAATCACCGCGCAGATCTCTACAAAGCATCAACCTCCTCCGAGGATCTTGCACACCAAGTATCAGTCTCCTCACCCGATCGCTAGACAGTGTCAGTCCCTCAGACGATGCGCACAGTCTCTGGCCTCAGAGGATTCGCACAAGTCCGGGTCTCCTCAGCCCGTCGCTGCAAAGCCTCCCTCTCACAGATCGCGACCAAGTGTCGGCCTCTCCCTCCCGGGCCGGTGCGGGGCGGGGCGCCCGGGCTGCAGATCCCCGAATCTCCCTCGTCGATGCTCTCAACTATAGATTTCCCATGTCGCCTGGAGGGAGGGAGGGAGGGAGGCAGAGAAAAAGAGCGAGACAGCAGTCTCATTTTTACACAAAAATATTTTAAATAAATATTTAAAATAAATATTAACAAAAATAAATACGGATTCTCTTGTTCGCCTGAGCAGCCGGGGCCCATTGCAAGACAGACCGACCGGCAGCGTCCAGAATGCATTTCTCTGAGGAGGAGGGGGAGGCGAAGGAGGAGGAGGAGGAGGAGGAGGAGGAGGAGGAGGAGGAAGGGCACGCGTTTGCTCTCCGGTTCTCTTCGCTTTGGCGTCATTAAAAAAAAATTGAATTTCTCCCAGTTTCTCCAGGGATGGCTCCAGGGCCTGAAGTCACCGTAGGGGGCTGGGTGAGAGGAGGCCCGCCGAGGCCCCCGGATGCAGACTGCGGGGGAGGGGTCCTATCTGCAGGTGGCTCGAGTTCGTGGAGGAGGAGGAAGGGGAGGAGGAGGAAGAGGAAGGGCAGGGGGAGGGGCGGGGGATGGGGGGCCCAGCCACGTGCCTCGCTCGTGTCCCCCGAAGTCCACCCCCACCCCGGGAAGACGGGGGGGGGGGGCGGAGCCTGGGAGCTGTCACTCAAGGAATGGGGGAGGGAGAGGGGGAGGGAGGTCACGAAAGACGGATGGTCTCCTCACGCGTCCTCTGCCGAGTGGGACTCCTGTTACCAGGGGGTTTCCAGATCCGGATCCGGTTGCGGGTGTAGCTAGCTTCTATACCGCGGATGCCGCCGCGGATGCCGGGGTCCACTTAGGCCGCCTGGTCTTCCTCAGGCTCTCTCTCTCTCTCTCTCTCTCTCGTTCGCTCGCTCGCTCGCTCGCTCGTTCGCCCTCTAGCCCTCTAGATCTCTTTCTGACGCCCCGCGGCGACGGACCGAGCGGGAGCCCGCGGGGGCAGGGGGGGTGCGGGGAGTGAGCTGGCGTCTCCGCCGGCGTCCGCGGCTGCAGACCCCTAATTGCTCTAGACAGAGCGAGCAAGCGAGAAAGAGAGAGAGCGCGCGCGAGCTGGGGGGGGGGGCAGGGCACAGGCAGACCCGCGCATATAAATAGCGCGTAGGCGAGACCCACAACGCATCCCTCGAAGCGCCGGACCTGGTGGAGAACGAGCGAACGAGGGAGCGGGCGATCGCGCGTACAAGGGCCACAGCGGAACGATGGAACAACTCACCGCCTTCGTGTCCCAATCTTTCGATCGCCCCAGTCCCTCGGGTGGGGAAGGTGCGGATGGCGGACCCAAGCGGGACCCACTCAGCTTCCGCCAAGTTCTGGAGCCTGGCCTGGCGGACCGCAGCGACGACGGCGGCACCGGACGCTGCGCGCTGCGGCTGTTCAAGGACCCGGCGGACGACGACGGACACAAGGACCGAAGCCGGGACCCTGGCGCGTCCAGGGGCGCCCCCGAAGGTAAGATTACTCCCCCACCCGGAGCTCACTCAAGTCTCTCTGTAGGATCGCTAAGGAAACAGACAGGGCCAGGGCCAGGGCTGACGTGGGGGAGAGGGGAGGGGTCTCGCTGTCCACCGGGGGACCCCCCCCCCCCCGGCCAAGCAGCCGCCGTCTCTGAGGTGTACGCGCAAGCACGCGGGGTGCTCCCCGCGGTCCGCCACCCGCCGACTGTGAGAAAGTCCGGGTCTCCTCAGACAATTTGCACAAAGTCCGGGTCTCCTCACAGGATTTGCACAAAGTCTGGGTCTCCACAGCGATTTGAACAAAGTATCAGTCTCCTCAGAAGATCTGCACAAAGTCCCGGTCTCCTCAGAGGAGCTGAGCAAAATATCAGTCTCCTCGGAAGATCTGCACAAATTCCGAGTCTCCTCACAGCATCTGCACGAAGTCTGTGTCTTCTCAGAGCATTTGCACGAAGTCCGAATCTTCACAGCCGGCTCGAACAAAATATCGGTCTCCTCAGGAGATTTGCACGACGTCCGGCTCTCCTCAGACGATTCGTACAAAATGTCAGTCACCTCAGATTTGCACGAAGTCTCGGTCTCCTCAGACGATTCGTACAAAATGTCAGTCACCTCAGATTTGCACGAAGTCTCGGTCTCCTCAGACGATTCGTACAAAATGTCAGTCACCTCAGATTTGCACGAAGTCTCGGTCTCCTCAGACGATTCGTACAAAACGTCAGTCACCTCAGATTTGCACGAAGTCCCGGTCTCCTCAGACGCTTTGCACAAGATACCAGTCACCTCAGAAGATCTGCACAAAGTCCGGGTCTCCTCACAGCATTTGCACGAAGTCTCGGTCTCCTCAGACGATTCGCACAAAATATCAATCACTTCAGATTTGCACAAAGTCCCGATCTCCTCAAACGCTTTGCAAAAAGCCCGGGTGTCCCCAAAAGATTGCACAAAGTCCGGGTCTCTTCAAAGCATTTGCACGAAGTCCCGGTCTCCTCAGATGATTTGCACAAAGTCCGAGTCTCCTCAGACGATTTGCACAAAATATCAATCACCTCAGATTTGCACAAAGTCCCGATCTCCTCAGACGCTTTGCACAAAGCCCGGGTATCCTCAGAAGATTGCGCAAAATCCGAGTCTCCTCAAAGATTTTGCAAAAAATATCCATCTCCTCAGATAATTTGCACAAAGTCCGGGTCTCCTCAAAGGATTTGCACAAAGTCCCGGTCTCCTCAGACGCTTTGCACAAAGCCTGGTGTCCTCAGAAGATTGCGCAAAGTCTGGGTCTCCTCAAAGCATTTGCCCAAATTCCCAGTCTCGGACGATTTGCACGAAGTCCTGGTCTCCTCAGACGACTGGTACAAAATGTCAGTCTCCTCAGACGACTGGCACAAAACATCAGTCACCTCAGAAGACTTGCACCACGCCGGGGTCTCCTCACAGGATTTACACAAAGTGCTGGTCTCCTCAGAGGATTTGCACAGAATACCAATCTCCTTAAACAATTTCCACCAAGTCCGATTCTCTGAGGATTTGCACAAAGTCCGGGTCTCCTCACTGCATTTGCACAAAGTCCGGGTCAAAATCTATTTTTTTTTTTTTTGCCCTCATTTCCGTCACAGGCAGGCAGCCGCCCAGGTGCAAATCAAAACCAGGCCCAGGGGCCTCGCAGGTGGCAGGGCTGGGGTGGGGGAGGGCGGGGGTCCTGGACCAGGGCACAGGGCGCGCAGACCTCCTGGCCTGGCTCACTCAGGCCTGCTTCCTCCCAAGGCAAACATTAAAAAAAAAAGTCCGTTTTGGCAGGCGGAAACGGAGAAATATCAATAATAGTAATTAATAATGAGGATTAATAATGGAGCATTCGGAGCGTTAGGGTCTCACACATAGCCAGCAGAAACTAGTGCAACATTATTTTAATTATTAGTTAATATTAGTTAATAATACTAAAGCAGCATTCGGAGGGCCCAGCTGTCTTGCACGCAACCAGCGGCACTCGTACATTGTTGTAGCTGGCAGTAGTGGAGCAGAAACGACACTGATAGTAGTTAATAATATTAATAAATAATAATAATAAAGCATTCAGAGGGCCCAGTGCATGCGGGTCTGGCACGCACTCAGTGGAAACTCGTGTGTGGCTGTAGCCGGAAGTGGTGGAGACGAAAGAATGATTATTATTAATAATAATTATTAATAAATAATAACCACAGACAGCCTCCGGAGGCCCGGTGATTGTCTCGCACACTTCGGTCTTCATCAGAATAATAATAATAAATAGTAATAAAGAAGGAGCATTCGGAGGACCCAGCATGTGCGGGTCTCGCACGCACCCAGCAGAAACTTGTGCTTTGTTGTAACCGGCAGTGGTGAAGAAGATATAATAATAATAATATTAGTTAACTACACTAATAATAAAGGGTTTGGAGGGCCCAGCGCGTGCGGATTGCCCATGCACCCAGAGGACACTGGTACGTTGTTGTAGCCGCAGTGGCGGAGCCAAAATAGAAATAATTATTAATAATAATAAATAATTAATAGTCATAAGGCAGTCTTTAGCGGGCCCAGCGCGTGTGGGGCTCTCACGCTGTGGTCGTCGCCGGCAGCGGTGGACTCGAAAAACGATCACAATCCATAGCCAATAAGAATTATTAATAATCAATAATATCAATAACTAATTGGTAGTAATTAATACTTAACATTAATCATTAATAACAGATGAAGTCAATTATCAATAGTAGACCGTCAATACTAGCAATAATTCTCAACCAGCAATAATTGATCGATTATCAATACTAATAATCAATGACCAATAATGGATAGTTAAATAATTGATAGTAAATAACAATTAATCGATATTCGATAATTAATGACCGACGGTCGAGAGTAAAGCAGCATGCCCAGCCTGGATCCCACCTCCAGCACACGTGCAAGTCCTGGGCCCGCTGCAGACCCGGTCTCTTCCCCTCCCTGCCCCACCCCCTCCCGCACAGGCGCCCTGAAGGCCGAAGAGGAGGAGGAGGAGGAAGGCGGCGGGGGCGGGGCCCGGCTGAAGCCGCGGCGAAGCCGCACGAACTTCTCACTGGAGCAGCTGCAGGCGCTGGAGCGCCTGTTCGAAGAGACGCACTACCCAGACGCGTTCATGCGCGAGGAGCTCAGCCAGCGCTTGGGGCTCTCGGAGGCCCGCGTCCAGGTGAGTGACAGCTGACGGGTGAGTGACAGGTGACGGGTGCATCACCAAGATGGTCCGTGCTCCAGGAGCTCAGGCAGCGCCTGGGGCTCTCAGAGGCCAGATCCAGGTGAGTGACAGCTGACGGGAGAGCGGCAGGTGAGTTACAGGTGACAGGTGCACCACTCGGACGCGTTCCTGGGGCTCTCAGAGGCGCTGGAGCAGGTGAGTTGACAGCTGACAGGGACAGGTGCGTTACCAGGAGCCAGCACCTGGGGCTCTCCGAGGCACACCTGCAGGTGAGTGACAGCAGACAGTTAATTCACAGGTGAGCCGGGTGTGCGTCCAGGTGAGCCAGGGGCACAGGTGTACAGGTGCACAGGTAGACTGCAGGCAAGGGAATTCATTCACTCAGGATATGCATTCATAAAGGGCAGGTGCATTCATTCATTCACGGCATTCATTCATTCACTCAGGGCGGGCGCACTCAGATCTTGCGAATTGTATCCATGCAAAACCTGCCAATCATACTTAGGCAACCTTGCATCCAGCACAGCCTCCACTCAGCCCTGTCTGCAGCGCGCTATCTGCACAAAGAAGCCATTTGCAAAAAATAAATCCACAGCCGTGCCAAATCAATTGAGCTACTTGTTGGGGCTTATTTATGATGATTTTATTTTGTGTTTATTTCTCCGAGCAGCCCGGCCTGTCCCGCTGCTCCCGGGGGAGGGGCCCCTGATGCAGAGTTATGAGCTCGCAGGCAGAAATCGAATTACAGGCGAGCATTTCGCCACTTGCCTGGGCCGCGGCAGCGAAATGAAACGTCATCCTTCATTCGCACTAATGGGACGCGCGCGGCGAAATCGGATTAGCCCGGCCGAGCTAATGAAGCAATAAAGTGGCTCCCCGCAGTGTAGACGGATCCACCTCGCCTATTAGCACACTCAGGGCCGTGCATCCGCCCAGGGGCTGCTGCTGCCTCACGTTGATTGATTTTTTATGATTATTAATTTTTTAAGTCCATTAGCGCTGGTTTTATGGGAGCCAGATTTTTTTATTGAATTTTTTTCAAGGTTTTTAATTTTATTTTTTGCAGGCCATTTTTCTCCGTGGCACTCCAAGCAGATTCTGGTGCGAAGTGTCCTCCCCTGTCATTTGCATGTATTCTTTTTAATTTCAGTTTACTTTTATTTTTCATATTTGTATTATTTTTATTGTTATATTATTTTTAATTCAGTTTTTTAAAAAGATCAAGGCCAAGAGGAACAGCCTGCATGGGCATATTAATTTCTGTTGATTTTTAATATTATTTATTACTAATATTTAAAATTATTTTTATGTTTAAAGAAAATGCATTTTTCCTTTTAAAATGCATTCACAGTATCACACAAAAAAATGAATCAAGAGGTTCAGGCTGGCTGCAGCCTTGCTGCCAATCAACCCTGGAATGCCCCAGTATGTTTCCGCCAGGACGGTGCTGCCCGGGAGGGGGGCGGGACCTGGCTGGGCCGCCGTCGAAACCGGACCAAACTGGGTCAGCCGCGTCGTCCAGGTATTTAAGGATTGCTTTTGTGGTTCACAATCCCCAAACTTTGCTGGCCTCAGCCCTCACCCTGATTTTATTTTAATGCATTTTGCCCGCCCGTCCCTCAGGTCTGGTTTCAGAACCGCAGAGCCAAGTGCCGGAAGCAGGAGAACCAGATGCACAAAGGTGAGTGACGGACAGGTGCCCGGGTGGGGGCGGAGCCAACGCGCGCACACGCGCCAGTGAGTGATTGACGGGGGTGCGGGGGCCGGAGGACAGCACGCGCGCTTGCGCAGACGAACGAGTGCGTGATGGACAGGCCTGCGGGCGGGGCCGAGCCAGTTGGGGGAACCCCCTTCTGTTTGGTGTCGCCCCCTCACCCCTGGGCAGGAGTGTTGCTGGGGCCTGCCAATCACCTGGACGCTTGCCGCGTGGCTCCATACGTCAACATGGGCGCCCGGACGTGCGTCATTCCTTTGCTACAGGTGAGGCGGCGACCCAGGATCTGTGTGGGGGACTCTGCAGACGCCGCGCGCGCGGAGCATGCGCCCTGTTCTCCATCCGGGTCCCGGACGCACGTCGGGGGCTGGGGGCGCTGGGAGCTGGGCTTGGGTCTGCGGAAGCCGGGGAGGCGGCTGCGGCGCTTCTGCCCGTCCCCGACGCGCGCGCTCCGCTCCCTGCAGGTGCAAGCCCAGCTGCAGCTGGAAGGCGTGGCCGCGCACGCGCACCTGCACCCGCACCTGGCGGCGGCGGCGGCGGCGGCGGCGGCGGCGCACGCGCCCTACCTCGTGTTCCCGCCGCCGCCGCCCGCGTTCGGGCTGCCCCTCGCCGCCTCGCTCGCCGACTCCGCGGCCGCCGCGAGCAGCACCAAGAGCTCCAGCATCGCCGACCTGCGGCTCAAGGCGCGCAAGCACGCCGAGGCCCTCGGCCTCTGACCCCTGCCCAGGGTGCGGGGTCCCTGAGACCAGGGGAGGGATCTTTGTACGCGGCGTGTGGGGGGAGGCAGGGCTGGGGTGGAGCATGTGCATCCTGGCACCGGACATTGCGCAAGCGCGCGGGCCCGAACCGAACTCGGAACCAACCGCGGGATCCCGACCGGAGGGTCCCCCCGACAGCCCTCCGTGACGCGCGGGCCTTGTGCGCGGTGCCGAGACGGCGCGCGTGGGTTGCTGGGTCCCTCTGAGCACTCAGGTGAGCGCAGGTGCGGCCCGGCCCGGCCCGGAGCGCACTGGGACACTTGGCTGGCTCCAGGGCTCACCCACGTGTTGCCTTTTGCAGGTGCGCCCAGGTGTGTGTGTGTGTCTTTTTTTGCAGGGTGGGGTTAAGGGAGGGGAGATTGGGACTCGGACCCAGTTGAGTGACAGGGGGCGCGCGTGATTGGCAGGTGCCAGGGGCAGGCAAGTGCAATATTGTACATAGGAGAGTTTTTTCTTTAAAAAAAAAAAAAACAAGGAAGCAAAATTAGTAAGAATAAAAGGAGGAGTTGCGGTGCTGAGCGCGGGGCTGCGGGGGTCGTGATGGGCAGAAAGGTGGGGGGATCGCCGTGCATGGGCAGTTGCGGGGAAGCTTGGGCAGCAGGTGACACCCCTGGGAAACCTGCGACACCTGGGTGAGGCTGCTCACTGGGGACCTGTTTTATTTTGTATTTTATCTTTTATTCTTTATTTTACATCCTATTTTATTTATGTTTTATCCCACCCAACGCCCTTTGCCCTGCCCTCTACCACCTGGCGTCCTTGTCTGCTCGGCTCAGGTCTCCACCTCCTGCCATCACCTGGGGCTCCTCTCCCTGTGAATCAGTCACCTGGGGCTTCTCCCCCTGCCAATCACCTTGGGCTCCTCCCCCTGCCAATCAAACATGGCCCTGGCACCAGTGGTGTTTGTGGACTTTGCAAATTGGGCGGGTCTCACGCGGGCTGTGCACCTGGCAGGCACCTGTGGGAGGAACACCTGTGCGTGGGCGCGGGTGTCCTCGGCTGCCTTTACATCGCGAAGATTTGTCATGCTTTTCAGAATTAAAAAAAAATGTATATATATATGCAGCTTATTTTTTTTTATTAATATTTGGTAGCCAAGTTCAAAGAGCAGGGAGCTACAGCCAGGAGATCCATCCAGGTCTCTCACGTGGATGCAGCAGGTGCACAAAGCCCTAAGCTGTCCCCTGCCTGACCCCTAAAAGGCCTCTGGACCCCAGAGCTGATCCCCTAAGAGGCCGCTGGACACTGCCCAGTCCATGCAGATGGGACCCTTGTATAACATGTCCGTCTGCATCAGGAGCCCTGTGTTGCCTGCTCATGTGCACACCCTCGAGTTTCTGGAACATTCCATAGGCTTACAGGTGCAAGGAGATGACCCCCTCCCACCCACTCCCCATGTCCAGAAAACTGCCCTGTAGCTGAGATTTTTTCCTGTGGACCCGCAATCCCTGTCAAGACCAGATAGACAGCTGTCAATCACGCTGAGTGGCAGTGAACCAAAGGTGAGGGGGGGGGGGCTGGGCGGGGTCCAAGAGGGAGAGGTGCTGAGTGCCGGGTTGTGGGAGCGGCCCCCTTCCTGCCCCCACAGACACCTGAACCAGCCTGACCCCTGGCGGAAGGGCCTCCGATGGAAAGAACCAGAGACCCCTTGAGGGGCTCCTGACAGCAAGAAAACCAGAGACCAACCCCCGCCTTGGCCGGGCTCCTGAAGTAAAGAACCAGCGACCCCCACCTTGCAGGGGTCCCTGGCAGCCATGGTACCCGAGGAACCAGCACCGCGGCTCCGATGCCCCCTCTGGCGGGGTCCCTTTGCAGAGGAGCTGGGGGGCTGTAGGCCGCTATCCAGTTTGGGGTTGCTTGTGGGAGAGAGAGGAGGGAGGTGGGGAATCCATGTGCATGCATGCCTGTACAAAAAGTTTGCATTGGCCGGCGCCGCGGCTCACTAGGCTAATCCTCCACCTTGCGGCGCCGGCACACTGGGTTCTAGTCCCGGTCGGGGGGGCCGGATTCTGTCCCGGTTGCCCCTCTTCCAGGCCAGCCTTCTGCTGTGGCCAGGGAGTGTAGTGGAGGATGGTCCAGGTGCTTGGGCCCTGCACCCCATGGGAGACCAGGAAAAGCACCTGGCTCCTGGCTCCTGCCATCGGATCAGCGCGGTGCGCCAGCCGCAGCGCGCCAGCCCCGGCGGCCGTTGGAGGGTGAACCAACGGCAAAAGGAAGACCTTTCTCTCTGTCTCTCTCTCACTGTCCACTCTGCCTGTCAAAAAAAAAAAAAAAAAAAAAAAAGTTTGCATTGACCTGAAAGCAAAACACAACAAAGTAAATGCATGCATGTGACCAGCCAGAGAGACTGGCCTGGCCCCAGACCTGTCATTCAAAACCAGCACAAAACAAAAAACAAAAAACCCTGGGGGGTTGTATTTTGCACGAGGCCTGAGTGTCAGGTGTCTCAGGTGCACGCCTAATTTTTTTGTAACCAGAGCAAAGGTCTGCTCGTGCACACCTAGGAGACCCAGATGTAGTTCCTGGCTCCCGACTGTAGCTCACCTGGAAGCAGGCAGCCGCAGGACACGGCTCAGGTCCTGGTGCAGCTGCTGCACCCACCTGTGGGAGACCTGGAGGGAGCTTCAGCCAGGAGCTAGGAGCGCCGTCCCGGTCTCTCAGGTGTGCACGATCCAGGAGCTGAGGCCAGGAGCGCCATCCAGGTCTCTCCTCACGTGGTGCAGCAGGTGCACTAGGACCTGGGCCATCCCCTGCGGGGCTGGGCGCGCCTCCTCGGGGCATGCCAATCAAAAGGGCGGGTAGGTGTCAGGTTACAAAGCCCGCGGCTCCAGCCTGCAGCAGCCTCGTAGGAACTCCGAGCTCGGGCTTTGCAAAATGAGTTTTGCAAAAAGCATGGATTTTGCAAGAAAGCTTGGATTTTGCAAAAAGCTTGGGTTTTGCAAAAAAGCTTGGATTTTGCAGAAAGCTTGGGATTTGCAGACAGGTCGAGTTGTGCAAAAAAGCTTGCATTTTGCAAAAAAGTTGGATTTTGCAAGAAGCTCGGGTTTTGCAAAAATCTTGAATTATGCAAAACAGCTCAGGTTTTGCAAAAAACCTTGGATTTTGCAGAGAGCTTGGGTTTTGCAAACAGGTCGAGTTGTGCAAAAAAGCTTGCATTTTGCAAAATGCTGGGATATTGCAAGAAGCTTAGGTTTTGCAAAAAGCTTGGATTTTGCAAACAGCTCAGGTTTTGCAAAAAAGCTTGCATTTTGCAAGAGGCTGGGATTTTGCAAAAAGGTCAAAAGCTTGGTTTTTGCAAAAAAGCTTGGATTTTGCAGAAAGCTTGGGATTTGCAGACAGGTCGAGTTGTGCAAAAAAGCTTGCATTTTATAAAAAAGTTGGATTTTGCAAGAAGCTTGGGTTTTGCAAAAACCTTTGCGTTTTGCAAACAGCTCAGGTTTTGCAAACCAGCTCGAGTTTTTGCAAAAGCTTGGATTTTTACAAAAGACCTTGGGTTTTGCAAAATAGCTGAAGTTTTGCAAAAAAAAAAAAAAATTCATTTGCGGTTTCCAGGATCGGGAGGAGTGGGGGGATTTCCGGGCCAGGGTCCTGGCCGCTGCCTTGTTTCCTGTGCCCCGAATGGGGTCTTTTGTTTCAATTTTAATTTTTTAAAAAATTTGCAAAATGCACGAGGAGGGGTTAAGCGCTTCCGCATGCTGGGGCCGGCTGTGGGGGAGGGGGAGGGAGCACGCAATCTGTCTATCTTCTGGCACAGCCGCTGTCTATCAAACGCAGGGACCTTCCAGCCTGGCAGGCCGGCAGGCAGGGGTGGGGGAGGTGGCGGCGGCTGAGGTCAGGGGAGGTCAGAGGTCATGGACCGGGCTAGGGGGAAGAGGGAAGGGTGTGGGCATGCATGTTGGAATGTTGGACGCCAGGCTGAGCAGAAAAGGGGTAGTGGGGAAGGCCTCCACTGGGGCTGGGACAAGTGTGCCCAGGTGTCCAAGTGAAATCAAATAAAAATCAGACAACCCCAAAATCAATCAGATCAGAGGTCATCCACTTCCTCGAGCACCCCCAAATACTAGGGCCATTGGGACTGCAGTCCACAAGGAAGCAGATTTCCATATTCATGAGGCTGCCACCTGCATCACAAAGATGGAAGCTCTCATTGGCTGTCCAAGGAGTACACATGCTAATCACTGTACGCAAACAATGCCAAATTTATACATTATACAAAGAGGCCGACTGGATGCATCATATGCAAATAAGTCCAAATGAATACCTTGTATGGAAATGAGGCTGAATGGACACATCCTATGCAAATGAGGGTGAATGGAAACACTGCATGCAAATGAGTCTGAAATTGATACATCACTGTATGCAAATGAGCCTGCATGCATTGTGTGCAAATGAGGCAGAATTTATACATTATATGTAAATGAGGCCAAGTGGATACATCATATGCAGATGAGTACCTTTGATGAGAGAGACAGAGATCGAGCTGCCTCAGCTGATGGGAAGTGACAGGTGCATCTGAGGGGAGGAGGCAGCGGATCAGAGCCATGACAGGCGAGTGACAGGTGAGTGACGGGCACCTACACCTGGCAGGAGCCACAGGTAGGGTTCCTGTTTGCTGGCGCTGACTCCTGCTGTGCACTCTGGGTCCGTGTGCAGCTGCTCTGGGCCCTCCTGATCCCGCCCACTGCTCCTGGCACAGACGATTGGCAGGACCACATGATGCACAGGGACCCTTTTTTAATTTAATATTTTTGGGTGGTAGTGGGGTTGCCTGATTTGTATTGCAATCTGTGCTTATGCATATGCAAAAGAGCCAGGCTGCTGCTTTTGCAAGACACCTACTGGGTGGAAGGCATGGCCCCTCAACAGTCTCGTTGGTATACAGGTAGTCCTGAGGGTCTCTGCCTTGGCACTGGCCCTGGATGGATGTGGAGAAGCCCTGTGCCAGTCTCATTTGCATATGGGAAGTTACTACCCTGACTCTCCTTGAGACACACCTTATATACACATGATGCACACCTGATCCATCTGCAGTCAGCAGAAATCCAGCAGTCAGCCTTCTTGGTGGCTTAGAACTTTCTAGAATGTTCTGTGAGCTTCTAGACTGTTCTATGCTGCTTAGCTGCATAGGGCTTGTGTCCTCCAGATCCAGGGCTATCAGCTGCTTCTGGGTAGGAGTATGGAAGACATTGTGTTTTTTTTTTCTAGTATGTTCTATGCCCTTCTAGACTGTTCTGTGCCTCTTCTAGAATGCTCTGTTCTTCTAGAATGTTCTCCACCCCTTAGCTGCACAGGCCTTTGTACTGTAGTACCAAGGCTGTCAGCTGCTCCTGGGGATGAGTATGGAAGACATTGGTTCTATTTTTCTAGAATGTTATGTGTTCCTTAGCAACATGGGGCCTGTGTCCTGCAGACCCAAGGCTGTCAGCTGCTTCTAGGGATGCATATAGAAGACATTGGTTTTTTATTTTATTTTA